AATCCCAATCTCCGTACCTTTTTTTTCCTCATCCATTAGGATAATACCAAATATGATATTTGAGCTCTTTCTTTCTTTTTTTTTCCTCGTCTGTTAGGATAATACCAAATATGATACTTGAAAAAATTTTCCCTTCTTCTGCTAGAACTCCAACCTTAATTGATTTTTTTTTTGCCCGAGTCCATGCCAATATTTCATCTTTACTAACTTGTTCTCCTGTAGATAACCCATCTCATGCCTGAAAGGGAGTTTGAAACAATTTCGGGGATATGAAGAAAGCCACCAATTAGGTAATTTAATTACCAAAATTTTGTAAGAAATTCCCTTCATCGTCTAATACTTTCTTTTTCAAAATTTCAGCAAACATGCAAATTAAAGACTACGCCACGCCATTGCCACATATTTCATTGAAGGACGAACGGGATGGACCTCAATCAAAGAGTTTGTCACTACATGTTCATAAACTAGCAATCGGCCCGTTCGCTGAGTCTTTCATACCCCTTGAAGGATGTTTTCATCTCGAAAATTGGACTAGCAAGTGGACTAAGGAAGTGGTGGCACCATCGACTTTCTCCACCACGTCGAGAGAAGAAGAAGTGATCGTATTAAATTCGTCACTTCACAATGGAGATCCAGAAATAGCCAAATTCACGCTTCCGTTCGTGGGATTCAATATCGATAAGACTACATGGAAAATTCCTTCTTCCTTCTTTGGCGAGGCGTGCTTCACCTCTCATTATTGGGAGTGTGTTGAGGACATTCTTGGAAGATATAAAGAAGTGCTCACCCGTACTGGCATATTTGAAGCTGTCTACGCGTCTAAATACTCTTACGACTGCTGTGAGAATATCTTGCGAGCCTTCTTCAAATGTTGGTGCCCCTCGACAAATACGCTTCATACCCCCGTTGGGGAGTTGTCTATCACGCTTTGGGACCTTTATCGATTTGGTGGCCTTTCGATCGATGGCTCGTTCTTTGATGAAATTGTTCTTTCGGTGCAGGAGCTTCTCACTCGTGACAAAGAAGGGAAGCCACTTCTCCCTCAAAGTTGCAAGCATCTCTTTTTCGCCTACTACCACTTTTGGACGAACGACCAAGGGGTATGGATGAAAGATTGGATTCGCTTCTGGTTCAAAGGAGATGCTAGGTATAGGGCTCCTCCGAGTAGGGCGAATAGAAGAAAGATCACATCTAAACCAAAGATGACCTATAACCCTTCTGGAAGCGTAGAGTCTCACGATCTTGTTGATACCAAGGATTTCGACGTCCCTTTTGACGCATTGAACATCCCAGAGTTTTTGAGAAAAGAAATTTATATCGCGGCATTCATAGCTTGTTGGATTTGCAAATTCCTATTGCCAAACAAAAAGGTCGACCGTATTCGTCCAAGTGTCTTCAAAGTTGCATGATTAATGGCCACAGGAAAAAGATTTTGCCTTGCAATTCCCGTTCTTGCGAGCATATATCATGGGTTGAGGGAGATCGTCCATGCCCCTAACCTTGGAGAATGTGGGGTAACTTTTCCAATCCATTACGTCTATGCTTGGATTGGGCAATATTTCGATGTATATTATGAAAACAATCAAGTGAGTAGCCACCACGCGCGCATGACAAGATTTAGTGGTAAGAAAATGGCAATATTTTATAGCCGATCAGAAGCTGAGAAAATCTTCAAAGAAGTGAATCCTTTGATGCTTCCCAAATTGTGCTGGACCGAGAATGAAGAAAAGGTGTTGATCGACGATGGATCCTTATCATCGAGGCTTACGAGCTACTTCATTAGTCAACGCTCTTGCCATTTAACTCTACATAAGGACAATACTTTCATTATTGAAAAATATAATCCTTTCAGGTTTAGCCGACAATTCGGCTTTTGTCAGGACATTCCCAACAACTTGAAATAGATCACTCATACTTATATTTTGGGTGAGGCTATTCAACTATGGGACTCCTTAGTTCGCACGCAGACACAATCTCGGATGACTATACCCACGCACAGGAAGCATTCATTGATCACAAAAGACTATGACGCCTGATGGTCGACTCGGTCAAATAGTGTCTCTTCAACTCCCTTTACACTCACCGTTAAGATCTCTCAGCAATCATTGAAAAAGGGTAAGGTCACCTCCGCTAACGACTCAGTGCATCATAATGGAGCTATAGAAATTGTAACGGGTCTTACCTCATCCACCTTGCGGAAGAACAAAATTATTAGCAGTCCTTCGAAAAACATTGTCGCAAAAAATAAGTTTTTCAAGGACTCTCGACAAGCCATCAAAGAGGCGCAACCAGTAATTCCAGCAAAGAAAACGCCGCCCAAAGTTTCAAAATCCTTATCGGTGACTCGCACAGAAGAAGATGTCGAAATCAAAACGGTGAACGATCGTGACTCTATCGAGGCCATAGAAAAGGAAGGGACTCAAATTCAGGGTATCGTATCTACCCACTAAGGAGCCCATTCATTGGCGAGCGATAGCAGTAGTCAAGACCGTCATTGAAACCGATCAAAGAAGAGGACATCCTCTGATTTGGAGGAGATTTTCTTTACACCACCATCAGTTGGAGTGTCGCCACTTAAGGTAATCATCTCTCCATTTTTCCTTTTTTTCTTTTTTTTTGTAACTTTTTTTCCTCCAACCCCCATTTCTTGAATTCTGTCAAGAAGGTGTTGGTAACAATTCACTACCCGAACTCGAAACTGATGATATAATTTCAAACAACAAAAGTGACGAAGTAGCTATCAGTACTCCAAAACAATTTGCCCCCAGTGGAGGTACCTCATCAATGTGTAAGAATGAGTTAACTGGTTCACATGAGACCCGAAAGAGACCTAAACCAGCACTGGTTTCAGAATTTTATGGGCAAAAATTGATCCAAGCGCATCGAAGGAAATACTTGCAGAGTTTGTGGATGGATTTTTGCGGGCAGATTCTTGACACTCCTATTGAGCAGATCTCCTCTTTAAAAGAGTGCGCAAAGGAAATCATTGTGAAAATCACAATAACGGATCCTACCAATGGTCTCCCTTTAAAGGACTTCTTGATAGAATTGTTTGCCAAAGCGGAGGTATATGATGTTTTGGCATCTTCGTTATGGGAAAAGATGAGTAAAGAAACACATGCGGAACTCCTTTCCAAGGTGACCGCCCAACTCGAGAGAGCTAAGGCGAAGGAAGAAAACCTAACTTGTCATCTGCAGAGTCTTGAAGAAAAGTTGCAGTCTATTGAAGATAGAAAGAAAATTTTGCAACAGGAACTTATCAATTTGGAGAAACAAGACCTGGAAATCAGCTCAACTATCGATCAAAAGCATGAAACTTTTGAAGAGATACAGACTGAAATAATCTGAGCACATGATGAATTCTCTTCTATTGAAAGTACCGGCATCTTGACTGATGACGCAGTGAAGGAACTTAAGACATGAAGTCTGCACTAGAATCATGTAAAATAGTCGTAGTGGACTACAAATTTGACATTTAGACTTTTCACCATGTCTTTTTCCTGAACTTTTTCCCTTTTTTTTTCCCTTGTAATGAATTTTTTTTTTGACTAATAAAATGCTTTTCGTTCCTTATCTCTTTTTTTTTTTTTTAAGATACAAGAACTCAAATGGAGCATTTTATTTATTTTTTTTTTTGAATGAGAAGATTCTCTATTTTTTTTTTCTTTGCAAGGAACAAGGATTTGATTTGGAGTGGTGTAACTGAACTTAGAAGTTGCCCTCCAAACTGCCTACGTATCCCAACAAGAGAATCAAATCACACGTAGTTCCTGCCGTTTACATTTTAACCTCATGCGGTCCAAGAGTATCTGTTTGTTTACCACCTTAGATTTGGTGGAGTGTTTCAGCAATTTAACCACATACTACACTATTGGTGGTTGCCATCCACAGTTTAGCTCATGCGGGCCAGGAGTATCGCGCGGTTCCGATTACGCATAGTACCTTTTTAGGTACTTGCCATTGATGGGGCCAACCCTTAATCCATCTTTAGCAACCAACTTGTATGAGCAATTTGTATATACTTCTCGAATAACATATGGACCATCCCACTTAGGAGTAAACTTTTTTTGTCCGCCATGAGTGAGAATGATTGGTTTCCGAACAGCGAGTATTAACTCTCCAATTGGAAAGGAGCGTGGCCGGACATGCTTATTAAATGCTTTTGAAAGGCGAGCCTGATATCACTCAATCCGTTGCTGAGCTTCCAATCTCTTTTCGTCAAGTGCTTCTAATTCCTCAAGGCGAAAACGAACATTATTTTCTTCACTGAGCCTTTCTTGAATTGCGATTCTTAGCGAAGGTATTTGACACTCAAGTGGAAGAATAGCTTCAACACCGTAAACGAAGGCGTACGGGGTTGCTTGTGTGGGAGTTCGAAAAGTAGTTCGGTATGCCCAAAGTGCTTCTCTAATTCGAAGATGCCAATCCCTTTTCGATTTATCCACAATTTTCTTCAACAGATTACAAAAGGTCTTGTTGAATGCTTCAGCAAGTCCATTTGCGGCAGTGTAGTACATGGACGAATTGTATTGTTTGAAATGAAACTTTTCGCCAAGCTTATTCATTACTACATTGCAAAAAGATTTACCATTATCGGTAATGATATAACGTGGGACTCCATACTGATAAATTATGTGCGAGCGAATGAAATCTACTACATTCTCTTTTTTGACCTCTCTTAGAGGAACAGTTTCAGCCCACTTTGAGAAATAATCCGTTGCCGTCAAAATGAAAATGTGTCCTCCAGAAGATTTTGGGAGCGGTCTAACTATATCCAAACCCCAAGCATCGAACGGCCAAGAAGCTACAGTTGGATGCAATGGTTCAGGAGGTTGACGGATGAAATTGCCATGGAATTAACAAGTTTGACATCTTCTAGCAAAATCGATATAGTCTCTTACCATCGTTGGCCAGTAGTATCCCATTCTCTTAATGCGGAAATGTAATTTTGGGCCACATTGGTGAGCACCACATACCCCAGAGTGAGCCTCCTCCATTGCTTACATGGTCTCATCTTCTCCAAAACATCGCAGAAACACTCCATCGAATGATTTTCGGTAAAGCGTCCCTTTGTGGTAAATGAAACGTGGCGCTCGACGACGTATATCAACCCTTTTCTTGGGATCTTCTGATAACTTTCCATGATTAAGGTAATCAATGATGAGGTGACGCCAATCCTCCTTTTCGATCTCATGGACAAAAATATGATAAGCATTTTCTTCCTCATCACCATCTTCTTCATCAAACATCGGAGGTATGACCCAACTTTGACATATTGAAATTTGATTTCGATGAGAAGATAGAGTGATCATGGACGCCAACCTTGTCAAAGAGTCAGCTTGTTGGTTGAAATTCCTAGGGATATGCTCTATAGTGACGTTATCTAAATATCCCATGAGTCGTCTTGCATACTTATAATATGGGATCAATTTAGGCTTTTTGACATCATAAATACCCAGAAGTTGATTTACCACTAATTTGGAATCACCATAGACCCTAAGATGCAACTGCTTCATGTCTGCGGCTGTTTCCAGACTGAGAATCAATGCCTGATATTCGGCCACATTGTTTGAACACCGACGTGTTAAAGTGAAAGAGTATGACAATATATCTGATTCAGGAGTATAAAAGATAACTCCTACACCAGCTCCGTCACGGTGCGCGGCTCCATCAAAATACATTGATCATGGGGATTCGACCATAAACACTTCTTCATCGGGGAGTTCATCAGTCAACTCCCACTCGACAGGTATGGGATGATCGGCTAAAAAGTCTGTCAATATTTGTCTTTTGACAACATTCGTAGGTACATAAATAATTTCAAACTGTTGAAACTGGAGGTACCATCTCGCGAGTCGATCAGACAGTACAGGTTTTGCGATGACATATTTAATGGGATTAAACTTAGATATGAGTCAAATAGTGTGTGCTTGAAAATAATGTTTCAATTTCTGAATGACAAATATAAGTGCCAAATACAACTTCTCGATGGGTGAGTAATTCAACTCATTAGATGCCATCATCCGACTCAAGTAATATAACGCATTCTCCTTACCTTCATCGTTTTCTTGAGCAAGTAAGGCCCCAACCGACCGTTCTTGTGCGGAAATATAGAGAATCAATGGTTTTCCTGGAATAGACGCAGCCAGCACTAGGAGATTCATGAGTTACGTTTTGATGCTTGTAAGAGCATTCCTACACGATTCATCCCACTCGAACGGCACCCCTTTCTTCATCAGCCGACTGAAGGGTTGGCATCGTCCGGCCAAATTAGAGATAAACCTCCGGATATAAGCCAACTTTCCTTGAAGACTCTTCAATTCATGAATATTTCGTGGTTCATGCATGTTCACAATGGCATCAATTTTAGATCGATCGACCTCTATCCCCCGTTGATGAACGATGAAACCGAGAAACTTATCAGAAGTGACTCCGAATGTGCACTTCAAGGGATTCATCTTCAGTTGGTATCTCCGAAGGCTTTGGAAAAATCTTCGAAGGTCTTGAATATGATCCTCTCGCTTCTTTGATTTCACCACAAGGTCATCATCGTAGCACTCCACATTTCTATGGAGCATATCATCAAATATTCTTTGCATTGCCCTTTGATATGTCGCTCCAGCATTTTTCAAACCAAACAGCATTACTTTATAGCAATAAATTTCCTTGGGGGTGCGGAAGGCAGTGAGCTCCTCATTCTCGGGCGTCATGCATATTTGATTGTAGCCAGACGATCCATCGAGAAAAGATAGTGTTTCATGCCCGGTTGTAGCATCTACCGTCAATTCTGTGATGGGGAGAGAAAAATCATCTTTGGAACAAGTCTCATTTAAATCTCGAAAATCAATATAAATCCGGATTTGCCCATTCTTTTTCCTCACAGGGACAGTGCTTGAAATCCATGTTGGATATTTCACTTCCCGTATGAACCCAGTTTCAATCAATCTATTTATCTCATTTTCTATCAGAGGAATCAATTCGGGCCGAAAGCGCCTTTGAGTTTGCTTGACAGGTTTTGTTCCTCGCTTGACAGACAAATTATGAACGACGATCCTTGGATTCAAACCAGCCATTTCTGAGTAATTACAGGCAAAGATGTCCCTGAAATCGAGCAGCAAATTAACATACTCCTTCTCTTTTTCAGGAGTCATACAAGAGTTTATGTAAATTGGGTGAGGATCGTCGTTTGTGCCAAGGTTAATCTCCTTTAGCACATTGACTGTATTTTTTACCCCTTGTTCAAGTTCAGGGGGAGCGTCATCCGCATCTTCTTCTTCTTCTTCGAGATCACTGATCGTAATATGATGATAGGAAACCATACTTTCTTGACCCTATTCTTCAAAAATGGTTTCAATTCTTACATTGAATAAATCTCCATAGTGCATGAAGAAATTGGAGACTCGCTTTCTTGGTCCGTTCTTCTTTATTGGAGTAAAACTTTCTTCCTTGGCAACTTGGTACTCTTGCTTTTTACTGCCTAATCTTTCATAGACAGGCGGTTTCAAATTTTTTGGTTACGGGCCAAGTCTGTCAAACACAGAAATACGCTTTGACTTATTTCCCAACCTATCGAACACAGATCTCTTTCGGCTTGTGACCTCTATCTCTTCGTTCACGTAGTTACAACTTGCCCTTTTGATCATTATATGCACTGGAGAAGGCGGTTGATAACTAAGACCCATCGATGAACTTTCAATATTATAGCCTTTTTCTTTCAATATTTTCTATGTAGGTGTTAATCCATGAGTTTTCTCACCAGTCACCTCAGGAAGGAATTTGCCCAATGCATGCTTCTCATTTGGGTTATACCCGACCTTAGCAAGAAGTCTATATGCAATTGGATCAAAACCTTCTTGAGTCCGATTAGTTGGTAGTGAGTAATGTTCTACCGCCGGTTCTTCTTTGGGACGAACAAATCCTTGCAAGCTCGATTTTTCACTCTTAATAGGCTCTATTTTGGTGAGCGGAACATTTAATGTATCATTCATGATAAAAAAAGATTGACCTTCTTCTCTCATTGATCTTGGAATATACCGCAAAATGGGTACTTTGAAATCTTGATTTTCTTCCATTACTGATTCTTTTCTTTTTGTTACTTTCTGAAGGTAAAATTTGGCGTCGGCAAAGTGAGTCTCGGCCTCAGTGAAAGGTTTATCATCGGCAATAACCTTCTTAACTATACCGTCTCGACAATATTTGAAACATTGATGCAGAGTAGACGGTATAATTTCATATTATAAAAGGTTTTGGCTTCAATGATATGAAATAATGCACTTGAAGACAACTCACCAATGAGCAATTCAAGTCTTATGGGACCAATTGCTCTTTGCCCCCCTTGGTTAAATCCTTGGATCATGAGGCGATTTTGGGAGAGTTTATCGCCTGAGATTCCTAATTCTTTCATAGCATGTACGGACATAATATTGACGGCAGATCCCCCATCAATGAGTATCCGATTCATCTTCTGTTCTCGGACATACGCACTAACAAACAAAGGTCGATTGTGGATTTTAAACTCAACAGCTAAATCATCATCATAAAAAATGATGGTCGTTGCACAATCCACTGGTGGTTTATCATCGATTTTGAGTTTTTCCTCAAATTTAGTGCCAATTTGTGTGATTTGAGGATTTTCAGCTTTGACGACATTACAAGAAGTGGAATTATCAGTATCGTCACTTAAATACCCCTTGGGTATAAATTCTCTCAGTGTCACGGGCTGTCGAATCTCTTGAAGGAGCTGAAAATCTGAAGGAATTGGCATTGTTGCCACTCTTTTTTGTTTCTTTGTTGCATTTCGTTGTTTCACTGTCACTTTAGGTTTCGTCGAACGAATGCTTTTCGAAAAGATGTACTTCTTTATTTTTGGCTTGCAAGTTCTCCTTCGAGTGACTAAAGTCCATCCTTCGTTATCATCTTCAATAACGTCTTCAATTAAGAATTTTTCAAGCTCCTTAGACAAAGTATTGCTTGATATGGATAAAATTTCTATCGGACAATACACAGACCCAAACATTATTGTTGTTTGGTTTGCCGATACTTTATCCTCCTCAAGAAGGATTTTTCCTTGACGGGCTAATTTCATAATTTTGTCCTTAAAGACAAAGCATTTAGTGAGAAGATGGCCAATCAAGCGGTAATAACAGCAATTATTTGGATCATTGACTTGACCGGCTTCCTTTAGCCGTTTCATGTCGGGGAGTTCAAGGAGCTTCTCCTTGAAAAAATCATCGAATATCCCTTGTAAATCGGATTCAAGGAAGGGGTATTCCTTTTCTTGAATTTCTTTTAGAGTGGGTCTTCTTACCGACCTATTTTGAGGGGAGTCTACCTTTTCGGTGACTTTTCGGTTCACCTTGGTAGCAATTTTCATGGGAGTTGTGTTTATTGCCATGAACTCCTTATTACTGAATCTTGAAGGAGGCTTGCCCCCTTTTTTATTTTCTTGCCTTTCATTGCTTTGACGAGGCGGTTGGACTCCCGGAGTTTGAATAGGAAGCCCATCAGTTGCATTGGTCGTGATGCTTAACTCCATATCATGAGCACGAGTAGCTAATTCTTCAAATGTGTTTGGGCATATACCTTGTAGAATGTAGATTAGACTCCAATGCATTCCTCGGATGCACATTTTTATGACAGAGAGTTCAGACAATCTGTCCTTGCAGTTGAGACTCAGACTTCTCCACCTATCGATGTAGTTGACCACAGGTTCATCTTTCCATTGACGAGTGTTAGTCAACTCCAGCATACTAACGGTTCTTCTAGTGCTGTAGAAGCGATTCAAGAACTCTTGTTCCAGCTGTTCTCAACTGTCGATGGACCCCGGAGTGAGATCAGTGTACCAATCAAACGCGTTGCCCTTTAAGGATCAGACGAACTGTTTGACTAGTAGGTCACCATAAGTTCCAGCGTTATTGCAGGTTTCGACAAAATGAGCCACATGTTATTTTGGACTACCTTTCCCATCGAACTGTTGAAATTTGGGCGGTTGATATCCAGCAGGCATTGTTAGGTTGTCAATTCTAGCAGTGTACGGCTTACAGTAGGTAAAGCTTGACTTTGAACCACCCTCCTTTTTATCTTTGATCACGCCTTCAACAAGTTCTTTCAGTTGTTCCACGGGGATAGTTCCATCGGCAGTCACATATACGTCCTTCACCTTGTCTTGGCCTTTAGATGAGGGAACTTCACGCTCTTGGTGCTCCTTAGGGTTCGCATGATTTTCTTTAGGAGTGTGATCTTTTTAGGTGAGCAATTGAGCAATAAGAGCATCTTGGTCCTTGATGTGTTTCATCATGGTTTCCATCATTTTGGACATGTTCGAAACTTGTTCTTCGAGACTTAAAGTATTTGTCATCATAGCAGGCATTGCAGCAGAAGAAGCAGCAAAATCTTCAATAGAAAACCTTGATTGAAGAGTTTCATGTGAAGAGGCTGATCCAGTGTTTGATTAATCATCATCATGCTTAGAAAATTTGGTTTCAGATCCAAATTCGAGCATGGCAAGAGCCTTCTCAATCGAGGCAGGAACGTCTTGGATTCCCATTGCGGAAGAATAGCTCATTGGTGATGTTGAACCGAAAACGGGAGTTGGCGCCGATGGAGCTTCCATGCTACTTTGGGTGGAGACTCTCGTCATACTCCTTGTCATAGGACCAATTGCGTGGGTATTGGTGGCAAC